GTGTGCACATTTGTTGCCCCAAAAGGTAGTGGCGAGCCCACGTCCTGGGCGATGGAGAGGTAGCCCCCCTCATTGCCCCGGTTGCTGGCCAAGGCAGCACAAATTTCCCTGCCCCTCCCCTGCCCACAGCACGCACTCTGAGCTGCGCGGCGAGCTGAGCCCCACCAAGCGGCGGGTGCGGCAGTACGAGCAGGAGATGGGCCTGCTGCGCCAGGAGAGCCAGGNGAGTGTGTGTGCTTGGGTGGGTGGGAGGGTTGTGTTGTGTGAGCGGGGGGGTGCTGTGGGGGTGGGGCCGGCTGGATGAGGCTGGCGGTGCCCTGTGGATGTCGGCGGCATGGCTGCAAGTCCTCAGCGACCTCACGCGACCCTGTTGCCCCGTCGATTGCGCAGGCCGCCGACATGCGTGCCAGCAGCGAGTCCACGCTCCGCACCCAGGCGGAGCTGGGGGCCGCGGCGCTGCAGGCGCGCGTCGCGGCGGCGGAGGCCGAGTGCGCCCGCCTGGCTGCCGCCAACCGCGAGCTGCTGGCCGCCAAGAGCGATGCGGAGGAGCAGCTGGGCAGCGCCGCCAGGTGGGCAGCGGGCACAGGAGGCTGCCCGGCTGGCTGGCTTGGCTGGCTGTATTTGTGTCTGGGGTTGCGTCTGGGGCTGCGTCTGGTGCGTGGATGTGGATTCCTGCGGGCATGGATTGGATTGGGACGATGCCCGTCCTCAGCCTGGATGCCGCCCGTCCCCTGCACCCCGCAGCGCGGGCACCGAGCTGGCGGCGCTGCGCGTCCAGCTGGAGCTGGGCCAGGCGGCGGCGGCGGAGCGGCAGGCGGACCTTGGCGAGGCGCTGGACCAGCTGGATGGCAGCAGGTGGGGCTGGGGTGTGGGGGCAGCAGGTGGGGCTGGGTCCCATCCCAGGAGGATGAGTGCGGCTTGTATATGGTGGGGCTTGTGTATGGGTGACTGGATAGATGCTGGTGGTGAGTGCGGGCTCGGCGACCCTGCAAGCTTGGGCCCAGCAAGCCTCCAGGGCTCTTAGCTGTCCTGCCGCCGCAACAGCCTTCACCAGAGCTTCTCGCGGCCCCTGCGCTGCGCCCGTCCGCTGCCGTGTGCAGGCAGCGCGTGGCGGCACTGGATGCGGAGGTTCAGGCGTGCCGGCGGGAGGCTGCAGAGGCCCAGGCCGGCCTGCAGCGCCAGCAGGCGGAGCACGAGGCGGCGCAGGCGGCTGCGGCCGCCCGCATTGCAGGTGGGCTACCAGGCCTGGGCAGCACACAGCCAGCTGGGCTTCCAGGGTGCTGTTTTGGTGGGCCTGGGCACGGGGGCATGGCCTGCTGCACACGCTTTGCATGCCTTGCACTTCCCTGCCGCCCGTTGCACCCTGCAGGCGAGCTCACGGCGGCGGCGGAGATGCAGCGGGAGCTGGACGGGCGTGCGGCGCGGGTGCAGGAGCTGCAGGCGGCGCACGACGCGGCGCAGGCGGCGGCCGACGACCTTACGCAGCGCTGCACGCAGCTGCACGAGGAGAAGATGCGCCTGGGCCGCATGCTGGCTCAGAGGGACAACGAGCTGCAGGGTGGGGCGCCTCGGCTCTGTCTGCTGGCGGGGAGGTTGCTGGGGCCGGCGCGCCGCCTCTGGAACTGGTGCTATCAGAGCTGCAGCTGCGGCTGAGGAGCTGCAGGCTGAGGCTGATGAGCGTGACTTGCTGCCTGCTGCTGCCATGGCGCCGGGTGTGGTGGTGCAGAGATGGAGCAGACGGCGGAGGAGAAGGATGCGGAGCTGGAGCAGGGCAAGGCGGAGGCGAGGCAGCTGGCCGGTACGCCCCTGTACCGCTGTGCCGTGAGCGCACGTGGTGTTGTGGAGGAGCGGCCTGCCTGTGCCGCTTCCTGGCATGCTTGGAGGGTTCTATGCTGGCATGGGCAGCAACGCCATGCGCTGACTCACCTCCTCCTTGGCGTGGTGCCCCTGCAGGCGAGGTGGCGGCGGCGCAGGCGGCGCTGGCGGCCAAGGCCGCCGAGCTGGGCGAGGCCGGCAGGGAGGTGGAGGGGGTGCAGGGGAAGCTGGAGGAGGTGACGGCCGCCATGCGGGATGCCCACGACCAACTGACGGAGCTGCAGGTGTGCGGGACTGGGGCTGGTCAGAGTATAAAAGGATTAGGAGTATGATTGTTATTGGTTAGCAGCTTGGGGCATAGTGTGAGGGGTTGGGTGGGTGTTGGTTGTGGGCAAGGGCGGAGATGCCTGGGCGGAGATGCGAGGGAGCGAAGCGTCCGGTCATGCCGTTCCGACGGAGCCCTGCCTGCCTCCTTGCCTGCATGACCGGCTGGCTGCGGCGGACTCGCAGCAGGCACAGCTGGAGTATGACCTGAGCGACAAGTCGGCCAGCCTGCGGGAAGCCAGCGAGCAGGTGGCGGAGCTCAGGCGACAGCTGGGCAAAGCGCGGGAAGCGCAGGCTGCGGCCACGGCGGCCGCGGCCGCGGCCACCGCCGAGGCCGCCGCGCAGCTGGGCGCGTCCCAGCAGGCCGGTGCGGCGGCAGGCTGGATGAAGCTCAGCAGCAGCTGGCGGAGGTGCAGGCGGAGTCGGAGCAGCACCGCCAGGCAGCTACCGCGGCGCAGCAGCAGGCAAGCGACCTGGCGGCCCAGCTGCAGCAGCTGCGGCAGGGACCTCTGCTGGAGAAGGAGCAGCAGGTGTGCTGCGCTGTGTCTGCACGTTTTTGTGTGTATGTTGGGATCGAGGGGGGCTGCTAAGCAGCGGTGCATGGCGGGTCGCCTGTAGCGGCCCGTTGGGTGGCTCCGTCTGGTCCACCTCCTGCTGGAGTGATGTTCACTTGCCAATGCCCCTTGCTGCAGCTGCTGCTGGGGCGGGCCGAGGTTCAGGAGCTGCGGCAGCAGCTGGTGGAGCAGGAGGAGGCTGGCGAGAAGCTGCGGGTGTGTCGGTACTGCCTCCACACACGCCTGTGCTACCCTCTGGCTCGCTTGTGCATCGCCGGCCGCTGGGTCTGCCTGCTGGGATGGGGCGCTCCTGCCAACCACAGGACGTTTCCCCCGGCTCTCAACGCACCCTGCCCCCTGTCTGTGCCCCTGCCCACGTGCGCAGGCGCAGCTAGAGGCCCGCAGCGGCGACGTGGCGCGCCTGCAGCAGCAGATGGCGGCCGAGGTCAGCGAGGCGGCGCAGCAGGTGCAGCTGCTGCTGGCAGCGCAGGCGCGCGTGGCGGCGCTGGAGGCGGAGGCCGCCGAGGCGCGGCGGCAGGCCGAGGAGAGCGAGGTGGGGCATGTGTGGTGGTGGTGTGGGCAGCAGGAGGGTAGGGCAGGCTGTTGCTAGAGGGAAGAAGTGACTGCAATGCCAGCCGTGTGGCATGCATGGCTGACGTGTGGGACCGCCTCTGCCCACCACCTCTCTGCTCATGGGGGCAGTACCATCCTGTCCTAGCAGCAAAGACACCTGTGTGGCCTGCCTCGGTGGTTTGGTCCCAGAGCCTCCTCTCCATACCTGCCCGTGCCTGCGCAGGCCTCCCGGCTGCCATCCCAGGTGGCAGAGGCGGTGGCGGCTGCCCGGGCGGTGGCTCGCGCCGAGCTGGAGCGCTTAGAGCAGCGGCTGGCTCAGGTAGGACTGCTTCCTGCCTGGTGGCTGCTTGCTGGCGCTTAAGCCGCGGGGCCATGCCGTGCATGTGCTGCTGGCGGTGCCACACTTGCAGCATGCTGCTTGAAGTGAGGATTCTGTGTGTGCAAGTGGCCTGAGCTGCTGCCGCACCCTCCTTTGGGGCCGTGCAGCGCGAGGAGGAGCTGGCAGCCCTGAGGCGGGAGCGCGATGAGCTGGCGGCTGCTGCGGCCGAGGCGGCGGCCATGAGCGGCGGCCAGGCCGA